ATGTTAAACTAATCAGCCACTAAAAGGGTTGGTTTTAATCTAATCAAGCTCTAATCAGCTGTTTGGCTTCAGCACCACAGGGTGGGGTAGAGCATTCCTCGCTGATAGGGCTATTGCTTCCCTTCAGGCTGATGCCACTTGGAGAGGAGTGCTTTGCCTGAGAAGGATGGCTCCTGCAGTACGGGGAATCAATTAGCACAGGGATCCTGAAAGCTGTTCCTTCAGTTCTCTCCCCAGAGCCACCAGCCCCAGATGCTACTTAAAAGTCTCTAGTCCACTCTGCTCTCCCTCTGCTGGAGCCTGGGGTAAGTGGCTGCAAAGAAAATTTTGTGTGTTGGACTTTTAAGAGGTTTTCTGCATCTCCAGCTGTCTCTTCCCAGCAGACAGAAACCCTGCTGATTTTCACCCCTGGATGTTATCTGGGTTTGTTTCTGGCTCTGTTATCATAGGCTGGGGAGCCCATCTTGGGGTTTAGACCTCACACTTTTCAGGGGGAACCTCTGGCTGCAAATATCCCTCTGGAACTTCAGCTGCTACCTGTGGGAGCCCAGCAAGCTTCTTACATCTCCTCCAAATTCTGTATCAGTCACATTGTGGTGAAGTGTTTTTTTCTGTCTGTCCATGGTTAAAAGGCTTCTCTAGTGTTCAGTTTGTTATTGTGGATGATTTCTCTACAATTTAGCTGTAATTCCAGATTGGTACTTGGAGGGGGTTAGTAGCTTTCACTTTTTCATTATCTTGGATCCTCTCTAAAATTATTATTTACAATAGGTTCTTTTTTCACAAAAGGTATTTCAGAATTCATGGGTATAGTTTACTCTAAAGAAATATACCAAAGCTACCAGTCTTTAGGGATGTAACTAAAGCAATAATGCACATTTTAAAAAAGAGATGATACTTTTATGTCAACAGTTTATAAAGGAGACAGGTAAGTCAGCAATCTCTAAAGAGAAATGCTGTTCAAGTTCAAGCTTCATTTGGCTGTGTCTCTTGCAGGATGCTTACAGCATTGAAGAGCTGATGGTCTGTGTCTACATACTCTAAAATAGCAGTAATCCCAAGCGTGATATATAAATATACTACAGGCTTCCAACACAAAGCATTGACATGCCAATCAGGCTTCCTGATGTCTGAACAGGACTGAAGGAATTTGAAGATAGGAGGTCAATAGCTGAATTGATTCTTCTTACTGGAAATGAGTCATTGTTCTCAAGTTCGCTGATTATTAGCAATCCTGATTACTAACAATTACTAACAATCCACTGACCACTAAGTAGTGGTCATAAGTAATGATCATAGGCTAAGGATGTCTTTTTAGGCAACCCATACTTCTAGGTCTTCTGCTTAAGGCCAACTAGTCCAGTTAAGAGGCATAAGAGAAAAGGGGTGATGAGTGGTAACAGCATAAAGGAACTGGGGAGAGTATGAAAAAGGGGAATTGGAGAAGAGCAAGGAGAACACCAGCTGTAATAGTGCCCAGGTGCAGAAAAAGTAGCTGCTCTGTGTTTGTGGAGCTGAACTTGAAACAACTTGTGAAAGTGACTCCCCACCCCCAATCCATCCCTAAGCCACTTGCTCTCCCTAGCCTGACAGTCATGCACAAATATTTAATAGCAATGCCTTGCATCTAGAGATTAAAGGCCTTATACAAGTACTATAAAAAAAATCAAGCAAGCATTGTTTTTGGACGTAGATTAGACGAGGAGCTCAGAAGGGGAGACGTGGGCAATCCCTGTGATTAGTCCTGTGATCTTCATGAGTATCCCTCTGCCTTCTCCCATGTAGCCCTGCACACTGAGCTAAAGTTCCTGAGCCTTGTTCTTTTCTACATCCCTTCCCCCTCCATATTTTGTATGAAGGCATGTTCTCATTGTTTATTTATACTGTCTTGAATATTGCCTATCATATTGTTTTACTTCAAAGCACCCTAAAAGAGTGATTACAGAAATAAAAACTGTTTTTGAAATCTACATTGATATGGCTCTATAGATAGACCTCAAGTATATGTACACATCAGTATTTTCAGACATAGTTGTACCCGTATGAGATAAGTTACACATGCTTAAATGTTAGAAACATCAAAAATGTCTTCCCTGCCATACATATAATATTGTTAGCTAAACAATATAATTCTTTCTAATCAAATAACCACTGTGAAATACCTGATTCACTCGGCACCCAACAGCTGGGGCTGTAGCTTATGTTCCCAGCCAGGGCTAAACATAAGCACAATAGGAAAGGCAGAAACAGCTGCAAACTCTTGGAAGAAAACATGTGTAAGGCAACTTTGTCTTTAGGCTTCAGGGTAGGAAGGAAGTAAAACACTTATTTCTGTTCCTTTTTATGTATGGCAGCTGTTTTGGGAGAAAAATATGTTGATTCTATTTTGTAAGAGACTCCATGGTATTATTAAAACACGAGTTGTAGAAACTTAGGCCTGGCCACAGATTTAGCACATTAGCGTGGTGAAAACATTTACAGAACTTGGTAGGTAGTTACCGTTCAGCTAGATTAAGCTAGATGGTCCCCTTGTCTTTGCTGCACAACTGACTCCTCCTCTAACATTATTAGCTGTAGACAAACTGGATTTCAGTGATGTTGACTGCTCCATACTTCAAATGTTTTAGGCTTATTTACATAAAACTTAATGGAATGAAATCCTCTCAGGCAGTGTCAGAGAAATAGATCCTCTGCAAGTGTCAGTAGTCCTTTGTCTATGTCTTTGTTTGTAGTCTTGGCATCAGGTACATGTTTTTGTTTCCCCTACTAAAATGTTAGCTCCTTAAAGGCAGGTTCTGTGTCAGTGCTTTCTTTGCTTCATTTATTTGCCTAGTAAGCATAGTAACTTCTCGATACATAGTTGATGAGTTAAGAGCCACCTGGTTTAAAAAAAATCAGTGGTAACCAGTACTTTTCATAAATAAGTATCTACTTGTTTACTTATTTTATCTTTACTGTGTTGGATGCATAGGTAATAGGCATAATACAGCTTCTTCTTTTTCTCCCACCCTTTTACTAGTCCAGAGAAAGAGGGAGGGAGAGAGGGAGAAAAACATCGATGTGTAAGAAAAACATGGATTGGTTGCCTCTCACATGCACTCCTACTGGTGACTGAACCTGCAATCCATGCATGTGCCCTGACTGGGAATTGAACCTGCAACCTTTTGGTTTGCTGGAAAATGCCCAATGGAGCCATACCGGCCAGGGCAAAGTAGCTTCTTCTGTGAAAATGCTGGGAGATAAGAATAAAACATTTGCCATAGCATTTATGTTATAGTGAGGCTGCTAATGCATGAAATATCACTTGGGCGATAGAATCTGTCATGCAGCAGAATTTCCTCAGTCATTAAAGCAAACTATCTAAAAATCAGATTTTATTAGACCTTTAGAATCTGGAAACAGGCCAGGAACCTCTTGAGGGAAAAAAGTGTTAGACCTAGTGTCTGTGTGAAGCTGACTAATATAAAACTGTATTGGTGATGTAATAAACAATTTAGAAAAAAAGAACAAAATAAAAATAAAGGGAAGCAAATCAACATAGTGTACACATTAGGAATTCAATGAATGTTAGCCTCTTTCATCCTCCCTCAATTCTTTTGGGGGAGAACTCTACAGAGTAACATCAATGAAAAAATACAAACACAACATAATATGACACATTTTACAAGGATAATGGATATGACCATATTTCAAACATGTTAAGAGTGCTTGTCTGTGTGGGACAAGACTGGGCATTCCTCCTTCAGATTTTGAGGAGTTAAGGACAGAATTAAGTGATCTGAGGTGGTAAATAAAAACACTAGACTGGGAGAGAGGGAGGAGGGCAAGAAAGAATATAGTTAACTGTGAAGCAAAGGGAGAAGGACAGACTAAAGTGTTGGAATATTTAGATAACAGGTCAATATGATTTGCTTTGAGTTAGGAAGGTTTCGTTTATATTTTATGACTTCGAAAAATTCCACCATGCCTAGTACAAGAAAAACATGATTTAAAATATGGCAATGACCAATATCCAGACTGCTATAAAGACAGTGAGAATTTTTAAAAATATGTTTTGTAAAAAATATAGAAGATGTACAGATGGACAACTCATAGGAAAACATCATCATCCTCAATTGGTTTATTAGAAATCATTGTCTGACTAGGATCTTAGTTACACTAGAAGATTATGAAATAGGCATCTCTCTTTAAGAGAAATATCTAGTATTTGTAGAAATTCAACATTTCCACAGATGCCATTACCATTCTGCATTAATTAAGAGTTTAATAAGGACCTCAAGTTGAAAGCACTATGCAATAACTATTAAAGCAGTAAAATAGCACACACAAGTGTATTTTAATTTCTGCAAAGCACTTTGATTCTTGTATCTAGGAAGCACAACTTCTGAAATGTGAACTTTTATTGTATAAAAATACTGTTGCTATCCATTAAAAGCATTTCTTTAAAAAAACAGATATTTTATCAATATTTTAACTTTGTATCTGACCTCATCATTTGTAGAAATCAGAAGAGTTGAAGTTACAATGGGATTTTGATGAAAATGTCCCTTCCTAACTGCTGCCAATATTTCTCAATGATGTGAATGTTTCTTCTCATGGAGACACACGGTTCACACAATAGCTCTCCTTTGATCTGTAGCTTCCCTTGAAAAGGAAAACATCGCCTGGAAGTGCTTTAATTGTTTCATTTTATTTTCCAATCATGTGATAGAAATCATGAATGGAAAAGAAAAAAAAAGCCCAAACTATTCTGGGCAAAGAAATTAAAAGCAACCTTATTTAAACCGGAAGCTTCAAGAAGTTAACAAAAATAAGCCAGACACTTCATAAAAAGTGGACCAGCCTTCATTGTTTTGCTTTCAGACTGTGTCTCTAGCTCCCACTATGACAGTCATTTTACAATATTTGCAAATATTATAAAAACTTACTGCAAAAATAAAACAAATTAATTGCATAATAACAGATAAAACAGACACAGCCACTAATTAGAAGGCATTTACCTGCATAAAGCGACCCTCTGATGTCCCAAGATTAGCGATGGTGAGGTCTCCTTTAATGAAGGTGGTTATAGATGTTAAGAGGACTTGGTTGAACTGGCCCATGAATAAGTCAACACGCTGCAAAGCTGTGGTAAACTCCGTTCGATACTCATCACTGTGCACTTCACAGCCTGATGAATTTCTCAAAAGTGTCTGGAATAAAATAAGGTCACAGAATTAATGTGAATCCAGATGTGAGCAAGCTGTTAAGAAACTCTTCAGGATTCTTAGGATATAGTCCCAGCAATTTCATTGCTGGGTCATAAGGCAGGTCCATTTTTAGTTTTTTTAGAAAATTCCATACTGTTTTCCATAATGGTTGTACCAGTCTGCATTCCCACCAACAGTGAACTAGTTCCCCACACCCTCTCCAACATTTGTTGTTTGTTGCTTTGTTTATGATAGTGGAGCTCATACCCTTTACAACAGCTTGAATGGAACTGGAAAGCATTATGCTGAGTGAAATAAGCCAGGGGTTGAAAGAGAAATACTATATGATCTCACCATTAACAGGAAGCTAAATAACATAACAAACAAGCAAGCAAAATAAAAACAACGACACTGAAATCGAGGGGTACAGCAACTGGAGGGGAGATAGGAGGGAATTTCAGGGAAAAAAAGGAAGGATTTACAGGAACTAGCATGAAGGACACATGGACAATTACTAAGGGGGGTGGAAAGGGGAGTGAGGTGGGGGGCACGGGGAGTGGGCTGGGAAGGGAGTAAAAGAAAGAATACTGTAGTTGAAAAATAATTTAAAAATAAAAAAATATTCTAAAAAAAAAAGAAACTCTTCACTATGTCTTTTCAGAGCTTGGAAGGGAATGGCAAGGAGAACCATGCAAACAGGCCCAGGTAAGCAAACATGTTTTTAATGACCTAAATAGCTCCAGTGTCCTTAGGCACTGTTGTGTATCCAGAGACGCAGAACTAGGGACAAACTTCACTGTCACAGTTTGTATCATAGTTCATTATGTATATACTTAAAGATGAAACTTAGCTGGTGTTATTTAAAAAAAATAAAACTGTAAATGTCTCAGCCCTTGACATAAAGGTAATGCTTCTAGCAGGCAAGTCCAATGAGATGAATTTTAATTGGAATAGTAATAAATGTTAGAGTCGTATTTGGACATTTTATTTTAAAATGTGTGCCTTTGTGCATCTGTGTGCAGGGAGGTGGCACAAAGTGGTAGTTGACAGATAATTCATGCAGAGGTAGCACAGCACAGACCCCAGACCCAAGTGTCTGTATAACATCCTGGTCCCTAATGCTTATTTACTTTATGTAATCCTGAAGACCTCTCTGTGTTTGTGAAATTCATGTTATCTTTGTTCAACTCCCCCAACTAAATTGAGAGAATTATAGAAATGTGCCTACCTTAAAGAACTGTTGCAATGATTACCTGAGCTAGTTTATAGAAATCTCTTAAAACAGAACCTCCAATGCAGAGAATACCACTCACTTATTTGTCATTGTTATGGTGAAAGGCCGAAAAAATATTAAAATTGTACATCAAATGCCTTAGTAACTAGCTTAGTGAAAAGCCATTACCACTCAATCAGATATTTACCCTTTAGGTTCAACTTCAAATGGAAGAATTAAAAAAAATATTGTTCAGTAATATATGACAAGTAAGCATGTGGATCGTTCCCTGCTCTCTGACACTCCTGTCTCCTGGTTTCCTCCTCTTTTTCAGGCTGCAACACTCATGTTTCCTTTGTAGAACCATCCAGGCCTGGCTATCAAAGTCAGGGTTTCTCAAGGCTTCATCGTAAGGCCACTTCTCTGCTCATTCTTTCTACTCTCCCCCCACCAATCTCATTCTGTCTTGTGATATCTATTACTACTTAGTTGACACTTGTATATTTTCAGGCTACCTTTCTGCTCTGAGCTGACTGCATATATCACACTGACTATGATATCTTTACTCAGATATCTCCAAGACCTAAGGTAAACATAACCAGTATAGAAACCACAATTTTCACTCATGCCTCATCTTATGATACAATGCACCCCAGTGAATATCTACCATTCCTCCATGTGCAAAAAAGGGAAATCTAAGTGTCAGCCCCAGTTCGTTCCCATATACAGTTGTGTACCAATTCTCATCTATTGAACTTTCTAAATATCTCTTGGATCCATCCAATTTTCTTTATTTCCACCATATCAACCTTTATCCAAGTCATCCTCCCCCCTTTCCTAGACAATTGCAATTGGTTCCTAACTGGATGTGTCACACCTGTCTTATCCAATCTCTTTCTAGATCCAGTCTCAACTTTGTAGCCAGGTTTTCTTCTTAAAACATAAGTCTTATGCCCTGGCTGGTGTAGCTCAGTGGATTGAGCTCGGGCCTGCGAACCACACGATCGCAGTTCGATTCCCAGTCAGGGCACACACTTGGGTTGCAGGCTGGTTCCCTGCAGGCCAGTTCCCAGCAGGAGATGCATGAAAGGCAACCATACATTGATGTTCCTCTCCCTCTCCCCTTCCCCACTAAAGATAAAGAAATAAAATCTTTAAAAACAAAACAAAACAAAACATAAGTCTTATTGTATAACTTTGTTTAAAATGTGTACTATGTCTCCCCAATGCTCATAGGATAGATGACAAAAATTTTAATATGATCTGTTGGGCCCTGCATCATTTGAATCCTACCCAACTTCTCCAGACTCACCTGGCACCATGTTCTCCTTTGCTTTCTGTGCTCTAGTGAGCTGGCCTTCTTTCAGTTTTCCAAATATGCCACATGTCTTTCCATTACAGGGTCTTTGCACATGCTGTTCCCTCTGCCTGAAATGCTCCTTCCATCTTCATGCACTTTTTTAACTGCTATTTCTCCTTCAGACCCCAGCTTGTCCTCATTTAATCATGAGGCCTGCCCTGACCCAAATATCTAGTCAAATTCTTCTATTTTGGTTGAATGATTATATGATTGATGTGAGACTTCTCTTGATCTCTGGGATCAAGGACCCTGTTTGTTCACCAGTGTAATTGCTTAGAGAAGGTGAAATACAACACACAGTAAATCTTCAGTAAATATTAACTGAATGAATGAACAAGTAACTGAATCAATTATGGGCAGCTGCAGAATGTGTGTGGCAATATGAGCCAATATTTTTAAGGCTACTTTTGTTTAGGAATGGAGGTAGTTAAGAGTGTATAAGGGACAAATAGAGTGTCTGGCTCCTAACTATCCTGACAGGATAGTTTTGGATTGGTAAATTTGGGATAGATAGCAAGGACCAGGAAAATGTATTAAAGAAAATGAAGGCTAACTTGGGAGGAAAAAGCTCATTCTTACACATATTTATGTATAGTTTCAAGTCCAGGAAAATGATTTAAAGATGAGAAATTCTCTATTATTATCCCATTATATGGATAGTAATTGAAAAATTATCATAGTAAATTTCAAACCAACTTAGTATTTAAGAACAAATTAAAGTAAAATATTTAATTATCCTTACATAAAATAACCTTACCCCTTAAGATCAAATTCCTGTGACATGGAATTTGAAAATTTTTTTTTATCTATTGACTTTTGTTTAAAAATCACCTACCATGCTGTTTTATAGAGTAACAGCTATGTCTTCATTTTAAATATTGATAAATTAACAAACAGTCTCTGAGATGCTAAACCTAGTGACTTGTAATGAAATGTTTTAGTTCTAGACATTTATTTTGATACATTCATGAATGTTATTTCACTATTTAATTAGAAGCTTTTCTTCGCTAAAGTACTATAGATTACTCCAAGGAGTAGCAGATAAATGAGATGTACCAGCAATTCAATAGTGACCAATTAACTGGTAATTAAGTTTCCATTGGTGATCATCCATTTTGCAGAGATAGCTAGAATTAAGGGACCCTGCTTAAAGGAACAAATGCCAGTTTTAAATCAAAGGCTATCTCAACTGTTTCATCATAGAGGTGAATGCTCTTCAGGGTCAGCTTCTGTGGTTATTTTATTCCTTCTTTTGCTTGATCTTACTCCTTTTTCCCATATCTAGGTGGCATCCTGGGAACTTTAAAGCCTCAAAGTTCAGTGCTGGTCAAGATATGACAAATTCATTGGAATATAAAAAGTATGCCCTGTGTGGAGTAAAGTCTTTGACTATAAACTAGTAGCAGCCTTCTACCAATAAGAGACCATGTATTGTCTTATTCATCTTTTATCCCTACTGTGTTTTGTGCCCAGCACACAGTATGTATTTAATAACAGCTTACTGGAAAATTAATGCATCTGCAAAGTAACCACACATATAGCCCATTAACTACTCCCCCATACCCTGGCTTGCTTTGTGGTCTGCCTTGCTGAACAGGGCGAGCAGGAGAATGGAGGTGAACTGGGGCTCACATTGTCTGTAAACCTACAGGAACTTGCTAATATGTAATATATAAATGTGGAATTCTGCATCAGACCTGAGGGAACATTTATATTGTGCACTTCAAGGTCTCTGAATGGTATCTCCTCAAAGACTGATAAGGTTAAGTTATATCTCTATTTCCACTGCAAACAAATTCCTAAGTATAGAAATATTGCATAATATTGGGATGGGATTTACAGAACTCCTTGGTTTTAAAAAATTGTGCAATTTGGAACTGAAGAACTAATATGTCAGGTTCAGGTGGCATTCTAATTCATAAGCCTGGGGACCTTAACCATTCTGGTTTTCCTTTTCTCCATAACTGAGATCTGCAGGAGAGAGGTAAGTATATTAACTTCCAGGAAAAAGTAACACTCCAGCATTTACTGCAGGAAAGGAGACTACTTGTCTCCTCCTGCTGAGAATCCTGATAAACTCAACGACTGGGGTCAGGATGGCAGGAACTCGCTTAGAACTGCATGCTGTCTTTGAGCTTGAATAGAGCTTTAACTATAGTATTGCAAAGATAAAGCACGGTGCAAATGTGACTGAATCTCCATCTGATTCACCGTGCCCCTTGAAGATAATTGAATGTCTCTTCTTTGTACAGGGAAGCTGGGGTGGCTTCTTACCACTTTATACACAGGTAGCTCTTGGCTGTGACATTTGGGGTGGGATTGGGTCCAGCTGGAAAAGAAATTAATTACAGACCTGCTGCCAAGGATCTTGTTGCCACTCATACTTCCCTCAAAACCTGGAGGTCTTGAACTTTGGGATAAAACAAAGCA